AAGCCATTCAAGCCTGGCAACCCATTCGGTGCCTGCGTGTGACTGATTACTAGCTTGGAAGGAGGACTCAGGAAAGCAAACCCCTCCTTGACAATTATAACACACCACACCACACAAAAAAAGCCTAAAATAAAATCTGAAATGTTGTGCAGTCATACAATGGTTGTTGTTTGTTTAGTCGTTTAGTCGTGTCTGACTCTTCGTGACCCCATGGACCAGAGCACGCCAGGCACCTCTGTCCTCCACTACCTCCTGCAGTTTGGTCAAACTCATGCTGGTAACCTCGAAGACACTGTCCAACCATCTCGTCCTCTGTCGCCCCTTCTCCTGTGCCCTCCATCTTTCCCAATCAGTGTCTTTTCCAGGGAGTCTTCTCTTCTCATGAGGTGGCCAAAGCCTTGGAGCCTCAGCTTCAGGATTTGTCTTCAGGGAGCACTCAGGGCTGATTCCTTCAGAATGGAGAGGTTGATCTTCTTGCAGTCCATGGGACTCTCAAGAGTCTCCTCCAGCACCATAAACTCAAAAGCATCAATTCTCGGGCGATCAGCCTTCTTTATGGTCCCAGCTCTCACTTCCATACATCACTGCTGGAAACATAGCTATACGGACCTTTGTCGACAAGGTGATGCCTCTGCTTTTAGGATGCTGTCTAGGTTTTGTCATTGCTTTCTCCCAAGAAGCAGGCGTCTTTTAATTCGTGGCTGCTGTCACCATTCTGCAGTGATCATGGAACCCAAGAAAGTAAAACTCCTCCACTGCCTCTATGTCTTCCCCTTCTTGCCATCTCATTTTTGGCCACATCCAGCTTACCAAGGTTCATGGCTCTTCCAGGATGTCTTACTGCGTGTAATAGCATGTCTGGCTGAGCCCCTAGCAGGAAGAGCATGCAGCCTGCTCTCTGTTTCTGGAGCAAAGGTGAAACTTTTCGTTCTTATTCCTATAAAAATTTCTTTTAACTGCTTACCTAAAGAAAACCAGCCATGAAAGCTCCAGGCATGCTTGCTCATGCTGTTGGGCAGTGCTTTTTTTCCTAATATATATATGTGTATATATATATATAGGGGTCCTCTCCTTTTCCTACACATATTGAAATTCTGCCCCTCAGTGAGGCCAAACTTAGATTCACAAAATGTTTAGGTGGGTGTGCGTACCCTCTGCGTACCCCCCCAGGGAAAAAACGCACCGCTGTTGGGTATGTTGCTGGCAAAATGAAACCTCCATGTTCTCGGTAGTCTATCTTGGAATGCCAGGTGCTGCAACAGGAGGAATGGGGGAAGCTATTGCTTTCATGCTCTGCTTAGGGAACACAGAGAAAGATGTCTTGTCTTGTTTCTGACTCTGTATTGTCTACACTGAGTCCAGAGTTTCTGACAAGAGTTTATTTCCAACCTCTCCTCTCCTGGAGATGCTGGGCGTGAACCAGGACTGTCTGAATGCAGAGCAGGTTGCTTCTATGGTGGGCCAAACATGGCCCTCCCATGCTGTTTTGGGACTACAATTCCCATCATCCCTGTCTGTTAGCTAGGGATGAATGGGAGTTGGTAGTCCAAAAACAGCTGGAGGGGCCAAGTTTGGCGCACCACCTGCAGATCTATGCTGAACTATAGTAAAGGTAAAGGGACCTGACCATTAGGTCAGTCGTGGCGACTCTGGGGTTGGGGGCGCTCATCTCGCTTTATTGCCGAGGGAGCCGGCGTACAGTTTTCAGGGTCATGTGGCCCAGCATGAACTAAGCGCACTTCCTGCGAACGCCAGAGCAGCACACGGAAACACACATTTACCTTCCTGCCGGAGCGGTTACCTAGTTTATCTATTTGCACTTTGATGTGCTTTCGAACTGCTAGGTTGGCAGGAGCAGGGAGCTCACCGCGTTGCGGGGATTCAACCGCCGATCTTCTGATTGGCAAGTCCCTAGGCCTTCTGTGGTTTAGACACAGTGCCATCCGATGCTGAACCCTCCCCTATATTGGGGGATGAGAGAGCCTGTGATTGACCACTGTGGGAAATTCACATGCTGGATCCAACGAGCCTCAAAGTCTCATCCTGAAGGGCTACTTCTATGCGGGTTTTTTCCAGAGCTGCCTTTGCAGGAATACTACCCAAACAATTGGCTATCTCAGTCTATTGTGGAGCCAGATAGAATAATCTTTGGAAAACAATAGCTTTCAACAGGGCAGCAGTGCTATTGAAGTGCTATTAATTACCTTTATGGGACACCCCGCCCCTCTTTCTCCCAAGTTGAGCAACAGGGAATGTGAATTTTCCCCTTTCCCCTTAATTTTGGACAAAGGACCCAGCTGGAGAAAATGTCTCCTCTGCACTTTCCCCCTAAAAGTTTTCCGTTAGCAGCGGAGGTTTATGGTCTGCTTCCCCACCACCACGACCCAATGTCTGCCCATTTTTCTAGGTGGCATCCTGGCTGCAGACCGGATGGTTTTTTTGACTTATTAGTAATTCGCTGCAAAAGACTCTCTAAGCCACTTACAAAAAATTAACAGCCAGAGGCACAGAATGAAAGGAAAGAGAACACATGCAACGTGAAACCATTAACAGGGTGTGTCATTTTAGGGGTAGAGGCTTACTTTTTGCAAATTTATTCAGCGAGGGGGGCTAAAATTTGTTTTTGGGTGTGAGAAATTCAAATCCGCTATTATTTTTGTGATGCGACATTTAGCTTGCTACGTCTAGGCTGGATGAAGAAGCACATAAACTGCTTTCGGAAAACAAAAGCATTTTGATTTTGCCTTCTGAAAATGTCATGCAATGCTAAATAATAATATGCAAGATAACTGCAAGTACTTGGCAATCATTTTTTATTTCTATGCATTTTTTTCATACATTTTACTTGCCAAGCAAAACTAAATTATATTGGTTTAAAAAAACCAAACACCTTTTGAATTCCCCAGTCATGTTACAACTTCTTAGCACCCTCATTTTTGGTAATTTGAAAGTTGGAAAATTCAACATGCCAGCTCAGTCGGTATAATAATAATAATAATAATAATAATAATAAATAATAATAATAATTTATTATTTATACCACCGCCCCATCTGGCTGGGTTTCCCCAGCCACGCTGGGCGGCTTCCAACTGAATATTAAAACAGTACAGCAGTCAAACATTAAAACTTCCCTAAAGAGGGCTGCCTTCAGTTTGTCTTTTTAAAAGTAAAAGAGTTTTTATTGCCTTGACATCTGGCTAGAGGGCGTTCCACAGGGCAGGTGCCACCACCGAGAAGGCCCTCTGCCTGGTTCCCTGTAACCTCATTCTTGCAATGAGGGAACCGCCAGAAGGCCCTCGCGCTGCATCTCAGTGTCCGAGCTGAACGATGGGGTGGAGATGCTCCTTTGGGTATACTGGGCCGAGGCCATTTATGGCTTTCAAGGTCAAACACCGACACTTTGAATTGTGCTCGAGGAAACGTACTGAGAGGCCAATGAAGACCTCTCAGAACCGGTGTTTATGTGGTCCAGCAGCCCGCTTCTCAGTCACCAGTCTAGCTGCTGCATTCTGGATTAATTGCAGTTTCCGGGTCACCTTCAAAGGTAGCCCCACATAGAGCGCATTACAGTAGTCCAAGCGGGAGATAACCAGAGCATGCAACACTCTGGCCAGACAGTCCGTGGGCAGGGAGGGTCTCAGCCTGCATACCAGATGGAGCTGGTCGACAGCTGCCCTGGACACAGAATTGACCTGCGCCTCCATGGACAGCTGTGAGTCCAAAATGACTCCCAGGCTGCGCACCTGGTCCTTCAGGGGCACAATTACCCCATTCAGGACCAGGGAATCCTCCACACCCGCCCGCCCCCTGTCCCCCAAAAACAGTACTTCTGTCTTGTCAGAAGTAAAAGCATGAGACTCTTAATGTCAGAGTTGTGTGGGTTTGAGTTCCACGTTGAGCAAAAAGATTCCTCTGTTGCAGGGGTGTTGTACTAGATGGGTTCCTTCCAGCGCTAAAACTCTGATTACAGTGACCCACATAGAGACCTAGCAAAACTTTAGCATCAGGAAACGGCAACAAACCACAACATATGTAGAATCATAGAACTGCAGGATAATAAACTGTTTCTATATGCAATAACGGCAGCAAGAGTACTGTTGGCACAGAAATGGAAAGAAGAATTACCGATAAAAGCAATGGACTATGCAGAATTAAGACAAGATGACAGGAAGGATTCGAAACCTGCGGGATCAGAAATTCTCGGAGGACTGGAGTAAATATGTGAACTATCTGAAAAGCAATTGTAATCAACAGATTACGCTGGTAGGGTTGCAAGAAGTTTTGTAAGGAGGACCATGTGAAATATTGCAGAGAAAAGTGTGTAGAGAACTATTAGTGAAGGACTATTGAAAGTGGCGCTGTGGGTAAAAGCCTCAGCGCCTAGGGCTTGCCGATCGAAAGGTCGGCGGTTCGAATCCCCGCGACGGGGTGAGCTCCCGCTGCTCAGTAGTGGTCCCAGCGCCTGCCAACCTAGCAGTTCGAAAGCACCCCCGGGTGCAAGTAGATAAATAGGGACCGCTTACTAGCGGGAAGGTAAACGGCGTTTCCGTGTGCGGCTCTGGCTCGCCATAGCAGCGATGTCACGCTGGCCACGTGACCTGGAAGTGTCTCCGGACAGCGCTGGCTCCCGGCCTATAGAGTGAGATGGGCGCACAACCCCAGAGTCTGGCAAGACTGGCCCGTACGGGCAGGGGTACCTTTACCTTTACCTTTTATTGAAAGTAATAGTGAAATTAATGAAATGCAGATTAAGTGATTAATAATAATAATATTGAAATAATAATAAAGTTTGAAAAAATCTTCAGATGTGGTTGATGGAAGTCCAAAACATTGAATAAGATGATAAAATATGTTATTTTATTTTTTTTGAAATTTCATGTAAAAATTAATAAAAATATATTTTTTAAAAAAGAACTGCAGAGCTGGAAGGGACCCAAGGGTCATCTAGTCCAACCCTCTGCAATGCATATATCACCGTCCTTGTCTCCCCTTGCAGGACACCCTCTGAAGATGCTGCTTCTTGATCACTGGGCCTTCTGCCTCTCGCTTCTCCTGCTCCTGGTTGCGTCCTCCTCTGGGTTTTTCGGCTGGCTCACTCGAAGTGGAACCCCAGAAAAAGCCCCTGTGCCCCCCGCACCCCCTCCGGACCCAGCTCGGCTTCCCCATGTGCCTTTTGAGATGACCACGGCAGATGAGAGGTTCTCAGCTGAGGCCCGGCGGCTGGATCTCTCGCCCCTGGACTCCTGCCACCATAAGGTCCGCCTGCAGTTTAAACATCTTCTCCCTGCAATTGCGGGCCATCTTGCATGCGGGCATGGAGGTTTGCCCCGGAGTTTTCCACTCTGCATTCTACAACGGATCGTAGAATTGTTGAGTCGGAAGGGGACCCTAAGGATCATCTAGTCCAACCCGCTGCAATGCAGGAAACACGCAGCTGCTCCAGGGGATCGAACCTGCGACCTTCTCAATATCGGCACCACGCTCCAAACAACTGAGCCATCCAGGCCCCAATAATAATACAGTGGACACTCGGGTTGCGAACGTGATCCGTGCGGGATGCACGTTCGCAACCCGCGTCTGCACACGTGCGGGTTTGCAACTTGGCGCTTCTGCACATGCCAAAGCGCAGTTTAGCGCTTCTGCGCATGCGTGACTGCCAAAACCTGGAAGTAACCCGTCCCAGTACTTCTGGGTTTGGGCGGTCCACGACCTGAAAAAACGCAACCTGAAGCGTCTGTAACCCGAGGTATGACTGTAATTAATTTTTTTTTAATTTTTTTTATTCTGATATTTTATTCTGGTTTCCCCAGCCACTCTGGGTGGTGTCCAACAGGATATTAAAAACACAATAAAAGGTCAAACATTAAAAACTTCCCTAAACAGGGCTGCCTTCAGATGTCTTCTAAAAGTCAGATAGTTGTTTATTTCCTTGACATCTGATGGGAGGGCGTTTCACAGGGCGGGTGCCACCACCAAGAAGGCCCTCCTGGTTCCCTGTAACTTGGCTTCTTGCAGTGAGGGAACCGCCAGAAGGCCCTTGGAGTTGGACCTAAGTGTCCAGGCTGAACATTGGGGGTAGCGACGCTCCTCCAGGTACAATTCCAAAGAATTATAGAAGCTTTATTTTTCTATAGCAGTGCTCACGAAGCATGTGTAGACCTAGAACAAAATAAGATTTTTGCGTTGCCTCTAAATGTCCATTGTGGAATAATAATAATAATAATAATTAATAATAATAATAATTTATTACTTATACCAAGCTTATCTGGCTGGGTTTCCCCAGCCACTCTGGGCGGCTGGTTGGTCTCAGATTACGAATACCAACTTTATATCCCCTTTTGCACTAAAGTGCTGTAGCAAAACAGGAGATACCCCCCCCTTTCTGCCTGGTTATTTCCCTTCTCTCTCTTACCTTCATTGCTAGGTGGTTGCACAGCTTCGGTCGTCTTGCACGGACCTGACAGAAGAGGAGCTGGCCAAGCTGGGCGTCTCCCTGTTTCAACTGCCAGGCCAGCGTCGAAGGACGTGGGACTTACCTGTGCACTGCCGACATGGTACCTAATGCGGTTTGGGAACCTACTTAGAATACTGTAATAAACAAAACTCTGCCCTTATTCCCTTATGGGGGACACAAGAGCCCTTATAGAGTCCTTGCAGGTTCTCCATCGGTCGGAGAAAATAACAGAGGCCAACCAGAGAATATTGAGAAGCAAAAGCAGCTCATAAGCCTGATCTTTATTGAACTGTTGCAACAGGGTGCTCCCCTCACACGCAGCAAAGGAGGAGGACCCAGAACCCAGGTGTGCCCGCCCTTATATAGACGTTTTAAATTGCCCGCCTTGCAGTCCAAGACCACCCCCAGACACATCATACCTACATCACAGAAAGGGCGGTCTACAACAGAAATCTGAGTGCGTTGTTTATCTCCTGTCTGGCAGGTTACCTGCTAATGGTCACTTGATTGGATTACCTGGGGAGCCTGGCCAGTCTTTTGTAGTGACAAATACTTAGTTCCTGAGCCAGGTCACAGGCTCACCCTATTCATGCACAGATATACCCTTAAGACAGGTTTTGTGAATGAAAAGACAATGGGGAGGCTTTTCCATTTTCCTTTGACCTTGCAGAGAAAACATTTGGTCAGTTTGGGAGCCAAAATGGCTCCAGGGCTGCCCTCCTGTGCTGCCTCAGACATGTGGCCCATACATTTATGTACGTGTTTGCCTGGCACATCCATGAACATTTATTTTATGTATAAGCCTTAATTTTTTATTTCATTATTTATAAGCCTTAATTTTTTTATTTCAAGTAGCTCCTTTCCCAGAGCTAAGCCAGTTACATTTCCTTGCTTTAATGACCTGGTTCAGACAGCAAGGGTGAGGCCGATGCCCCGTTACGTAAATAAAATTAAAATTAACTGATCGAAACAGAGTTGCATGAATCCTGGGGTCTCGGATGAGCTGTAGGGTTCCCGCAATGATTCATTCAATCGCGATCTGTCGCTCCCTTTCTGTTCTCCCAACAGACTCTAGCACAATGCACCGCGGGGATGGATCCAGACACCTGGAACGCCTACCACATCGTGAGCAACCGAGCCCGGGCTGTCTGCTATGCACCCGTCAGATGCAGTTCACAAGGCGAGCGCCAGAGCGGGCTAGCCGCACACCGTCA